CTTGGTCCACCGCACACCAGCCGACAAGGCCCGAAAAGACGTTTTGAGATCTAGCACTGTCAGATATCGCCCGACAAGCTCTGATCTTGTCGCAGACTTGTCTCAATTCATCGCACACTAGCCGATAAGTTAAGGTTTTTTGTCGGCCGAAAAAAAATCGGCTAGTGTGCGGCGGCCTTATGTTTGTTCAAAAGGCCTTTTTGATCACCTTTTGATCACTATCGTCTCATCGCAGTACTGCCAATCCTTTCTAAATCGCCAGAACGACACATATCTGCAACTTATCAAAAACACTTGTTAAAGTATAATCTGCTGTGTAAACATCAGTCTGCTTATCAACCTAATTATTCGTGCTAAACTACACCAATTAACGTAGCGGATCGTTGGCTCAAGGAAACGGACAATGGAAACTTTATTAGAACCATTTTGCTTGATTTAAGCAAGGCGTTTGACTTAGTCAATCACGACATTCTTCTATCCAAAATTATCAATGTACTTCCCTAGTGTGGTTTAAATCATATTTAAGCGAACGCTCGCAGCAGGGAAAACATCAATGCCGCTCCCTCTTGTAGTAGGAGTTCCACAGGGATCCATTTTAGGTCCATTATTTTTTCAATTTACATCAATGATTTGCCACTTTCTATGCAAAATTCTGAAACTGATATGTTTGCCGATGACACCGCTATCTAGTGAAGTCTAAATATTGCAAATTGTTGTTTCAGCCATAATGTGATGAAGCCCAAAAAAACTAAGCAAATGTTAATTGGAACTACTCAGAAGCTTCGTTGTGCAGACAAGACCTGCATATATTTATTTTTGAATGATGCCAAGCAAGAGGAGGTAATGGGAGAAAAGCCTCTCGGGATTGGGATCGACAAAAATCTCACTTGGAATTTGCATATTGATTATGTTATCAGGAAGCTTAACCGCAGGATTAATCCGCTGAAAAGGTCAAACATTTTTCTATCTTTGCACTATAGGAAATTATTGTGTAATTCCCTCATAAAACCAATTCTTGAATAATGTTGCACGGTATGGGGCAATTGTTCCAAGGAACAGAAAACTGCTAATGACATTAGAAAACTCCTCCTCCAAGGAACAGTTAAACAGATTGTTACGATTACAGAAACGCTGCGCCAGAATGATACTGGATGGAAACTTTCAGGACAATTCAGTAATGTTATTTTCTAAATTAGGATGGCTTCCAATTGACGATATCATTAAAGCAAGAAACCTATCACTTCTTCACAAAATCTGTAACGGCTGGGGCCCGAAATAACTTAAATTCCTCCTGTATATGCTAATTATGTCAAGAGTTGTCACGATTGCGACACGAGAACCGTGAGTCGAAAAAGAAACGACCTTATTACACCAAAGTGTGAGAAAAATTCAGGTCTAAGGACTTTTCATTCTAGTGCATCTCGTCTGTAGAACAGAATTGAACCATCTGTTAGAGATAGACTTTCACAGAAGCGCTTTTCCATGGAAATCCAACGAAAAATGACATTAGAAAACTCCGTGTTAATGAACATTTTAATATTAATTAACTACACGTATCGAGTAATTTATTAGTGATTATTTTAGGTTTACACTCTGGTTTTAGATTATCTTAGGGAAGGCCATTATGTTAACTACTGAGTCACTAGTAATCAATGTTACCCTCGGAAAATAAAGTGTTATTTTTATCATATTATCGGCATACGTATTATTAACATAAAGAAGGAACTGAAGTTGGGTCATGATCAAACTGAGTTTTATGTTTCAAAGAGCTGGGGTTTGAGTTTAGTGTTGTGTTGTGTCTGAAAATCCCCTTGGTTACAGACAAGTAAAGTGCCTGGCAAAGCTCGCAAAAGAAGATGCCAAGTTTAGCAATTCTTAACTAAAACCACAAGCATTAGAGCTAGGCTAGCGAAATCAAAGGAAAACATATCTTTTCATAGCCGTCTTGTAATCTAGAGAGGCGTTGTCTTTCTTTAACTGCTAAATCTAAGAGCTTAGTGTTCTCGATGAAGGCTTTTATAATCGGAAAAATTTTAGTGTCTGCATGAGATTTAAAGGACTTATTTCGGTGTTGGCTTCTTTTTTTATTTATGGTTTCCATATCTTTTGTTTTGTGCATCGCAGTGCCATGTACAGCATCTCTAGGCATGGAAAACCGTCTCATCAAAGATGCTCAAATCACCGCCTCTTCAGAGAGGGATTCAAATCACGCTGCAATCCAAGCAAGGTTGAACTTTAAGGCAGGTGGAGGCAAACAAGGGGCATGGTCAGCTGGCTCTAATGACGCCAATCAATGGATTCAGGTAGCTCTTGGTAGTTACAGCAAATTAACAGTTATAGCTACACAAGGAAGAAATGGACACAGCCAGTGGGTAACCAAATACCAGCTTCAATACAGTAACGATGGAGCGAACTTTGACTATTACAAAGCACCAGGCCAAAGTTTGACAAAGGTAAAACCATACCTAACTGACCGTCAATTTGCAATCGTTTCATGCATTCATGGCCGTTTAACTGCTAATTAAATAAGGTCTTTTCAGTTATAAGAAGGTTCACTGGAGATTTGTTGATGCTAATGTTTAGGTGTTTAATGGAAATAAGGACGCTGACAGCATAGTTTACCACAAGTTCAACCCGCCAATCCAAGCAGGCTACATCAGACTCAGGCCAACAGCGTGGTCCAGTCATATTTCACTGAGGATGGAACTATATGGTTGTCCAGGTATGATTGCAATCTGATTACTTGCAACTTTTTCAGCTTAGTTAAATACCTGAAGATTACATCTGATTATTAACGACAAAGGGTCAAGTTAATGATTTGTATTTGCTAGTACTGAAAGCTGGTCTTATGTCTGTTCAAAAGGCCTTTTTGATCAGCAGTCTATCGTATACGTGTTATTAATGAAGGGAGAACTGAAATTGGAGTCTTTTATCAAAATGAGTTTCAAAGAGCTGAGGTTTAAGGTTAGTTTTGGAAGTGACGTTATATCTGAAAACCCGTCTAGTTACATACAAATAAAGTGTATGGCAAAAATTCGCAGAAGAAGGAGCCAAGTTTTGTAGTTGTTAATTAAATATCAAAAGCATTAGCGCATAGGCTAATGAAAACAAAGGCAAAATTATTTTTTCATAGCCGTCTTGTAATCTATAGCGAGGCGTTGCCTTTCTTTAAAATATAACTGCTAAGTGAGCTTAATATTTTCGGTGAGGGCTATTATAATCGGAAACACTCTGCACGAGGTTTAAACGACCTCTTTCGATGTTGGCCTCTTTTCTTTTTTATTTATGGTTTCCATATCTTTTGTTTTGTGCACCGCAGTGCCATGTACAGAATCTCTTGGCATGGAAAACCGTCTCATCAAAGATGCTCAAATCACCGCCTCTTCAGAGCAGGATTCAAATCACGCTGCAATCCAGGCAAGGTTGAACTTTAAGGCAGGCGGAGGCAAACAAGGGGGATGGTCAGCTGGCTCTAATGACGCCAATCAATGGATTCAGGTAGCCCTTGATAGTGACACCAAATTAACAGGTATAGCCACGCAAGGAAGAAATGGAAGCTACGATTGGGTAACCAAATACCAGCTTCAATTCAGTGACGATGGAGTGAACTTTGACTATTACAAAGCACCAGGCCAAAGTTTGCCAAAGGTAAAACCATACCCATCTGACCGTCAATTTGCAATAGTTGCATGCATTCATGGCAACCATTTAACTGCTAATCAATTTAGTTTCCTTCAGTTATAAGAAGGTTCACTGGGGTTTTTGTGGATGATAATGTTTTACTTTAGGTGTTTGATGGAAATAAGGACACTGACAGTATTGTTTACCACAAGTTGAACCCGCCAATCCAAGCAGGCTACATCAGACTCAGGCCAACAGAGTGGTTATATATTATTTCACTGAGGATGGAACTGTATGGTTGTTTAGGTATGATTGCAATCTGATTACTTCCAACTTTTTCAGCTAAGTTAAACACCTAAAGATTACATCCGATTTTTTAAAATAACGACGTGAGGTTAAATCAATGTTTTGTATTTTTAGTTCTGAAAGCTGGTCCTATGTTTGTTCCAAAGGCTTTTTTTGATCACCATATTATTGGCATACCTTTTATTAATTTAAAGAGGGAGCTGGAGTTGCAGTCATTACCAAAATGAGTTTTACGTTTCAAAGAGCTGGGGTTTGAGTTTAGTTTTGGAACTGACGTTGTATCTGAAAACCCCTTTAGTTATACATGTAAGGGCCAATTTCCAATTCGCTCGGTTTCAATAGGCAAGATTCACTCTAGTTCACTGACTTTAATTCGACTAACACCCCAATAAGACGCTCTTGTTTGCTTGTACATAATTCCATCAATCGTCCGCGTCTTTATCCGTGTTATCCGTCGTTACGTCGAGTGAATCGCATACACAACTACAACGTTTGCCGACGCTCGCCATTACATGCACACTCGAAAAGATCACGTGACTTAAACGCGGGAACTAAACGGCGGGAAAAATACATGAACAATACAGGGAACCCAGCAATAATACATACGAGTAAAGTGCATGATGGCAAAATTCGTGGAAGAAGAAGCAAGTACGTTTTGCAATTGTTAACAAAAACCACAAGCATTAGAGCATAGGCTAGC